GAGGGAAAAGGGAGGTGGGGAAGAGGTGGAAATTTTTAATAAATAAATAAATTAAAAAGAAAGAAGGAAAGAAAGAAAGAGAAAGAAAGAAAGAAAGAAAGAAAGAAAGAAAGAAAGAAAGAAAGAAAAGCAGCAGTGGACAGTAGCCCTGTGCTTGACTAGAGAACCCTAACAGGAACTTGCTAGTAAAGGGCTGCAAGATCATTGTGCATGGACCCTGTGGGTATCAAGGGTGGTCTTATGTGTATAAGCAGGTGTCCAAAACAACAGACTGCTTCCTCAAGATGAAAAGATGTGCATCTGGCCTGCAAATGCTCCAAGGGTAAGGGGCACTTTTCTTCCCTTGTTCTTTTTATTTTCTTTGTGTTTATAAGCCACCTTGGCATTTGTGCTTACAATTGCCCTGAATGAAACACTAATGCCAGAGAGTTATTCCAGAAGGGGCCCAGGGAACAGAGAGAAATAAATAGAGTAGATGGCAAAGGTCATTCTGATGAGGTCACAAATGCCACTGAGGACTGTGTTATTGGAAGTGAAAAGAAAGGTTATTCTTATAAAGTAAAAGAGAACCCGACTGAACAACACTCATGACCAAGTGCTTTGTGGATATTTGAACTTCTGAGTAATAAATAGGACACTGGACAGAATAAATATCTAAGTTAAGTGTTGGAATGAAATATGACCTCTCTCCTTTGTTTATTTTGAAATATGAAAAAAGAGAAACACATGAAAGCCACAGTTATAAACAATTACAAGATAAACAGAATTTAAAGGTTTGAATTTTCTTCTGTGCCTTGTTATGAAGACAGAAAAACATGCTGAGGAAAGGATACTGAGGGTGTGACCAAGTGACCTTTGATAAGGGTATTTTCTGTTCATAACAAGTCATAACCCTGAAAGCATTTCAGAGATTAACAATCCCAGTAAGGAATGTAAAAGAATAACGTTCAAATAGGTCATGGATACCTAAGGATCTTTGATGCCATGCACAGCTTAAGTTGCTGCTTCTCCCTTCTGACTAACATTCCTCAGCCAAATCGGATACAGATCAAGGAAGCAATGTGTCTCAGGCCTCTAAGAGAGGGCACAGAAGGAAAAACGTGGCTCTTTCTGTAGGGTTCTTTCTCTACAAGTATACAGAGTGCATGGGCTATGGGGTCTGGTTACCACATCTGGACTTCAAAGATGCCTGGATGAGTCTCAGAGCGGTGAGCGACAGTGATTTCAGTGTGCTATGATGTCAAGAAAAACTGGTTATAAAAACAAGTTGTTTGACCACACACAAAACAATGTATCCCAAAGCTCAGTTGGAAATTACTACTTTGTGATATTTGAACTGCAGATGACTATTCTTTACTACATGTAGTTTCTCAATAGTCTTGCTAGTTTTTTTCCTAAGTGTCTTCCTCATAAAAAGGCAGTCTATTTTTCATTTTGTTTGCACAATGCAGTTGGTATCACATATGCTCCAAAGGTGAACAATGACAAAGAAGCAGAGAAGAGCAGTGAGTTTGGGACCAGGATCTAGCTCTGCTCTCCCCTCAGCTCCTTGGTCCTTGCTATCTCTGAAGAATCCAGGCACAGATGCAGAGCACAGCACAGAAGATGATGGTAAAGGGGATAGGTTTGAGGTGAGAGTGGTCAAGAACAAAAGAACTACTGTGCACATATTCAATAGATGGGCTGTTTTTTAAACTTTTGAAAAAGGCTATATTCCTGGGGACTATTTTCCTGCCCATATATGTATCAGGCCCATTTAGTTTGACTCTTGATGGAGGGGACAATAATAATGCCATTATTCTTGACTATCCTTCAGTCAGACAGCAACCTTTTGAGCTTCTTCGCAGTTTAGAATGTCTTGTCTCCTTGCGGCTGAGATACACTCATTTTTCTCTTCTTTTGACCATATTCACAGTCCTGTAGTTTCAGTTTCTGTTTTTAGAAGTCTGATTCCATGGGTTCAATTTCAAGGACCTACTTGGTGGTGGAAGAAGAAGGGACTCCCAAAAGTTGTCCTTTGACTTACTCTTTCCAAAAAAAAAAAAAAAATAGAATGCAATGAAACTTTACAAATAAAAACCATAAAGGTGACTAAAGGTAAGCACTAAAATATAATCATGTATTTTAAAATGCAAACAATGTCTCTAAAATAATTCTTCCCTGCAGGAGTGCCACTCCACTGGCATCCACAGCCATACCTGCTTCTCTCTTGGTGTGCTGTGACTCAGAAGGCACCTTACCTAGACAGCGAATCATCTTGGCTTTCCTGCTCACCTCCATACCCTGAGTTCTTCCTGTCTAGTTTAGGGGATAGCTTTCTTTTCTCTAGCTTTCATTATTGTATGATTTCCTCAGTAGGAATCTAGTAGAGTCATCATATGTAGGATAAACATTAGAATGTAATAGTTGTTTCTCACTGTATCCAGGGTAACAGTAGAATGTATTAGTGTTTATTGAAGGCACTTAAACCTTGAAGAAATTATCATAGAGGACAGTGACTGCTTTCTATGATTTATAGAGTTGTTTTCCTGAGAAAGTTTTCCATCCATTGCAAGACTTTAGTCACAAGATTATCCAGGCACATGTGGAGCATCTTGAAATAGTGAGTACTGTAAACACTACACAAGAAGGACTAAAGGTTGTATGTGTGTGTGGCAGGAGTGATAATTTCTCTCAGGGAACATAGAATAGAGCAAAGGTGTTTTGGTGTGAGCAACTTGCTGCATCCCAAATACGTTGGTGTATTAATCAATAAATATCTTGCGGAATGGAGGTTTGAGGTCAATTCACAGTAGCTGGTCCTCTCTGCTGCTAGAGAGCTTAAAATGACATTCTGGAGTGACTCTCTTTTGGATGACCCACGCAGCACAGCACACCGACAGATTTCTGTCACATTTCTTGGCTCAGAGTAGAGACCAATATTATTTTGCTGAAGAAACAAAGGAAAAAGTTCAGCTCTTCACTCCCAGGTAAGTATTTCAGATTTGTGAAGGAAAGATAAAATCTTCCAGTCCTAAAATTTAGCCAATATCATCCAGCTATCATTTTATGCTTCTTCAAACTCCATTATTTTTCACTTTTTCTATATAGTTACTGAATCAAATCTCTGTTTTTCTTAATGATGGTGTTAGGGAAAAGCCACTCCAGACTTTCACTAGAATTTGATACTGTAAGCATGCCTCTTTGACATAAAAGTAGTTTTTGATCTGGTCGTTGAGAGTAATGGTACAAACAAGAGAAGGCCTGGAAAATTGCCATTTTATAATAGGAATTTATGTCTATAAACAAGACATTCATTTATAAATGGCCTCTCTCTACAAGGAAAGGAAGAAAAGTTACTGGAATTTGATAGTGTGACATGGAGATTCCTGTCATTAATAAAAGAATTGAAAGATAAACCCAAAAGGAAGCGTGGGGAAAATTAATTCGAGGAAAAACAACAGCAGCAATAAAGTAGACAAGTGCTAGAATCACAGCATCTCCCACGAGAGGAAGGAAAAGGAGGAGAGAAGAAAGAATGCTGAGTTAGGCCTTTGCGGAGGTCAGCTGGATGGTGGGCAGGCAGCCACACTGAGGGAGGTAGCTTCAGAGAAAGTGTTAGGAAGTGTTAGGTCAAAGTGTCAGAGGAAGCATGCTCAGCAGGGAGATAGAAAAGAAAAGGAAAAGTTACCTTTGTGTGTGTAATTTTGAAAAGCGGGCTGCCATATGCTGTGGCTGTATAGCCAGCAAGGGGCACAAATTCTCAGAAGGAAAAGAACATTATTAAAGAGAAAATCATTCCCATTTCATTGGCATGGCTTACCTTCCTGAGGGGTGGTCCCTTGCCAGGTAACCGGCTGGTAAAACTGGCTTCACTCTTCTATGTTTTTAGATAGGTTGGAATGTTAGGCCTCTACCCATCCTAGGTAAATTACCTTTCCTTCATGGAACTCCACGGAACCTTGAATGAGTCTGACAGGAAATGAATACATTTGAATACGTAGAGAAGGTATAAATTCAAGGCTCCATAGCAAATCTCACCAGAGGAGCCAGGAATGAAGGGGCCGGACTCGAGATCAGGTAGTGCCCTTTGTCAGCCCATGGCCCGGGATGGGGCTTTCCATTCAGTGGTCGACTATCTTGTTCTCATGTACTCAATACAGTCAGCCTTTGTGACCAAAGTCCGGAAAAAAAGTGAGAGGTGCCTACAAAAGGTATGGAGAGGCTACAGATGAAGAAGAGGTGAGATAGAGGGTCTCGGGGTGAGTGCTGTGAGCGACACCTGAGCAGCTGGAGACTGGGAAGAAACAGGGTTTCAAGAATAAGGAATTTCAAAGAATATCAGTTACTTTGACTACGTCTTAGGTTGCTGAGCTACAATTTTTCTTATGATTATTTTTTTCTGTGATAATGCTAAAAAAGAAAAAAAAACGTCACTTTACAGGCTAGACTTGATATCTCAGTTCAATGAGCTAAACAGTTAAGGTCTGAGAATTCTTTCAGGTTAGTGAAGATATCTTTAAGAATAGAAGTAAATTTAACAGAGAACGACTCATAAAAAGAGCTTCTCAAAGTACATGTGAGAGCCCACCATGGGAGAAGGGCTTGCACAGGGTCCCTGTTTCCGCCTGAGAAGGTGAACTTTGGTGGCATTCTAACCCAGGTGGCTAGATAGTTCATTACACGGCATCAGAGACTTGAGATGCATATCAAGACATTATTTTTTTATCATTTCACAGATTTCTTTTACCAATATACATATTTTTCTCTATTTTCTTGAATCACATAGCTTTTGTCACACAGCACTTGTTCCTAAACTCAACAGAACTTGCCCATGAAAGATTTTTTTTGTTGCCTTATAATAAATCATTACTAAGTTCTCAATATGAGCTTCCACTGTAAGCCCTCAAGCCACAAGAGTGGCCAGGCCCCTCCCCTGAGGACCTCCCACAGAACACTCTAACTGCCCTGAATGGTTTGACCCTGTTCCTGTCCTAATGAATATAAATCCCAAGCTCCGAATTTGAAATCCTCCCAATTCCCCACCCTTGAAAGCTTCACCCTGAAAAGCTCGTCCCTCCTCCCCAAGAAATTCTATATAAGCCCTGCCTTCTGTTCAGTTCTCTGTTGTTTCTTGCTTGAGCAGAGACAGCTACCGTCCTGTTTTTTTCTTTCCCCTTCTAACAAATCTCTTACGTGAAGTTTGTTGTGTGGTGTGATTTTGTGGTATTCCTTCGGTCCCATTTACCTTGGAGGTGTAATTTTGCAGTCTCCTTACTCCCAACTGGGCTATTGCACCATCCCTGACCTCATATCCCACCTCCCCTTCAGAGCTGCCCTATTCCTTTTGTGACTTTTGTGACTCCATTCTCCCACTTTTTCCTGTGAATGAGATCTCCTCCTAGTACTCAGTTTTTGTTCTTGCCTTCTGGCATCTATGAAAACCCTGATACAATGCACTGAGTCATGCCTCTAGCAGGACTGAATGGCTTGGTCCTTGTTCAGTCCTCCCTGAGTCCTGGGGATGCCCATGGACTAGAGGCTGAAGTGACACTTTCCTTTCCTTCTCTCATCCATGGGAATGGTGCCCTCCACACTCTCATTCCCTGATAGAATGCCTCTTTAAAAATGTCCAGCCTCTAGACCTGGCACCCATCCTGAAAGGCCCTAAATTCATTCTCTTTGCAATCAAATTTGGCTTCAATACCCCTTAGATAATCAATTCCAGGGGCCACCTAATGTTACCCTAGATCCCAATATTATTCAGGACCATTACAAATGCCATGAACTATCGCGGAAGAGGAAAGTGTTTCCCCAGTCCCTATTTTAAGCCCTATTTGTTTTTGTTTAATCTCCCCCACCCACCATGGTGTGTGTGAGTGTGTGTGTGTGTGTGTGTGTGTGTGTGTGTGTATTTGTATATATGTATAAATGTCCCGTCTTTTAAGTCACTAGTTGACAAAGCTATAAGTTTGTGGCAAAGCAGTAGCCAGGAGCCGGCCTAGCAGGAGGGGAAGAAAGCAAAGGTGAGGACTGGCTGCAATGTATGCACAGGCTGCTGCACACACTCTTCAATGGCTGGGACACCTACAGCCAGGACTGAAAAATCTCCCATCTCTAATCCTTCTTTGATTCCAGCATGTTAGTTCAGTTTTATAGGGATTCAAGTGTCTTTTAGGTATGAGTGGCATCAGACTGTTGTTTTATGCTGTCCCATAAAGCTGGATCTGGGGTTAGGGTATGGTTCCCCCTCCTCTAGACCCAAGCATACTTGTTTAAAAACTTTCCTCCAAAATCTCCCATTTCAGGCAAGCCACCTGACTATGTGACAGAGAAAGGACAGAATAAAGGGGCAGACTATTCCCAAAGGGGACTACTGATGCTCATCTCATACTCTTTTGGGTTCTGTTTAATTCTCTGAAGCTTTTGCTAAGGTATAAATCTTATCTCAAGATTTGTAAAACTATTGTGTAAAATTTCCATACCTCAAGAGTCATAAGCATATTGGGTATGATTAAAAATTCTGTAAAATCTGGAATAAAAGGTTAATTTAAAATTCATAACACCATGGTTGGCAGTTAAAAATTCACACATAGGTAATCTTAATGGACGTGGCTTTCTGCCATCATTGCTGCTGTCTCCCCATTGGGATGGAGGCAGTCACATGGCTGCCAGCCATCTTTGCTAGGGTTGCAAAGGATGCACTCTGTGACCTTTACTCCCACTTGATGAAAAGTGACCACATGGTATAAGCCAATCAAGAAAGCAACTTCTCCTAGCTACAAATCCCAAACCAAATGATTCTCCAGTATCTTCTATCATACTAACGAGCCTTAACCCTCAGGCCCTTCTCTTCTTCTCCAACTTCTCTGGCTTCCCTTTCTCCCTCCTTAGTGACAGGTTGGTCACCAAGACAAACCTAAGGCAGTCCCTGACCAGGACCTTGAATGGAATTGCAGTACCTCAGGGACTTGTATTTGTCACTTGTCTCCTGGCTGGTCTTTACAAGGCTACCCTTAAAGGGGTAAATTATGAGAAAATTCAAGAGGTCATCCAGGACAAACATAATAACCCATCTTACTTCCTAGACCACCTCACAAAGGCCCTTTTACAATTTACTCATCTGGATCCTGAGAACCCAGATGGAAAATAGCTTCTCATGGTCTACTTCTTCTCCCAGACTTTTCTTGATAACAACTAAGGTCAAACTTGAGTATCTAAAGAATGAAGCCCTGATTCCACAGGCAGAAATCTTAGCAGTGGCCTTTAAGGTGCACCATTGGAGAGATAAAAAGGCCTGATGCCAGTGAAGGCAACTGCCTAACTCCCTGGTCTCCCAAAGCCTGAGAACCTCTGGGACCCTAGTTCAAATGCAGTCAGGAGGGTCACTGGGCCCAGGTATTTTTGTACTATCTCATTGGACTTTCTTGGCCCACAAGCCCACAAATAATGACCTGGATTAATGGTGAATCAATCCCACACCAGTTATGTTTTAAAGGGGTATTTATTTTGGGGGGTAAAACTTACATACACCATAAACCATCAGGAAGGGAGCCTAGTCGCTGGAGCAGGAGCCGGAACCAAGTGCCGGAACCAAGAGGCCAAGCCAAGGCTTGCCGCTCT